TTAGTTATATTTTGAAAAACTCCAAAAAAGGAAATATATTAATTAGCATTAAATATTTTTCCGTACTCGTTTCGTTCTTACTTTGAATGCAATTTAATTAAGGTAAAAGTTTAATTTGTCAATACTCAATAGCACGAGAATAATTTGTTACTATGAAAACAAATGAATTCGTTAAGAGTAACGAAAGTTTCTGTGTTACGTTGAAGAGAAATCAAGACAACTAGTAATTACTAATTTTTAAATGATGTCCAATTTCAACTTTTTAAAAATCATCATGAAATAAAACAGAAAAAAATATTAATCTGTTGATCGAAATGATCTCTAATTCTATATGTGCATGCCGATATATTTTTAACTTGTTATATAATAGAAAAATCATGTGCAAGGAATAGTAAAGAAGAAACATTCCATTAATTAAGTCGACATGACAAACAAAGACACGACTCAACACATAACCAGAGACACATGATAGAAACTTGACCAAAACGATAAAATTAGAAACACGAAATGAGAAAGACACTACAATAAGAAAGACAACAACAACTTTATTTCAAAGACACATGCAGTTATGTTTTAAAAAAAAAGACGCATGCAGTTTGCTTCTTCGACGGGTACTTCATTAGGCATCATCGTTTGCACCACCAGACTTGCTGCACTCTCCTGGATACCATTTTGTGGTCGCCACGTCTTCTTCACCTGATGGTTCGCTTAGGTTGAAGCTAGATACCATTTGGGGTAAAGGAGTCTCATCCAAGGGTAGCCATCGATCCATATAATAGATAGTTCCACTTCCCATCGCGTCAGAACTAATCCCTCCCAATTGAGACTCAACATTCGAAGGCCTCGGAGTCTCATCCCTCAGAGGAGATGGCTCGTTGACACTTCTCGGGATACAATGTTTCCTATAATCTAACGCTCTACTCAAACTCACAATCTTGTCATTTGAATAAGTTATAAGTTTATCAACCTCGGAATCAGTAAGATCATCAAGTGGACGACCTACTTGGAGTTGAAACATGAGATCATCCATCTCATACTCCATGATTACCTTCCGAGTTTCGGCTAGCTTCTTCTCAATCTTCTTGATGTTTTCATTGATGAAAGACTCTTGGTCCGAGGCCTTGGCATTCCTCTCACGTGGTGGTAATGAGAAGTATTTGTCGAAGAGAGCCTTAGCCTCCTCGTCAGACGGCCATGTCACCACCTTCTTATCATCAGAGCTGTAAAACATCAAACAAGCAGCCACATTACACAAAATGGTTAGTTCGTTGGCTTTTTTCATCAGGCCTTGCATCCTCTTCTTGTAAGCGGCTTGTCTAGCCTTTTGATTCACGATCCAGGAAATCTTCACCTTTCCTCTCGCCATGGCCTCCTTCACTTGATATTTCTCACTCTTGGATTTGTGTTTATGTTTCTTGTTGTGTGTACATAGAGAGTCCTGCACATGTGGTCTTATATAAGAGTCGAGAGGTAAAGAGATAAGGATGTGAGAATCCAAATACTGTAAATTAAAACATTTCTAACCTCACAATATTTATATATTATCATTATAAAAACACTAGGTTAATTGACATAATTATGTATTTCCTCCGTTTCAAAATGTAATTTGTTTTGCCTAAAAAAATGAATATTAAGAAACTACTTTGTTTTCTAAAAAGTATAATCTTATATATATAACAAAAATAATTTAATCAATTAAAAAAACGACTGCAAAATACTATTGGCCACACAATATGTAATAAAATTAAAAAGTATTTAAGATTATCAAAATAATTTATATTTAAAAACATAAAAAAACCTTCAAAACAACTTATATTTTGAAACGGAGAGAGTATATAGTTAAATAACCTGCCACTAAAATTTCAATATATATATTTAAGGTAACTAGCATATTTGACTACAATGAAACTAACCCTAAGAATAATATATGTTCATATTTATTGTACACAAAAATTGTTTGAACGGATTAGTTTGGTAACTTATTAAGAAAAATTTAGGTTAATCAGTTATTTCAACTCCATACATAGTTATTCTCATATTTCCATAATTTAGGTTTTACATTTTGTAAAGTTCGTCAATTTTACTGTCACCAACATAGACACATCAATTTTCTTCTCTTCGTGAATTTCTTAACACGTTTTTCCTTTTATTTCTTAGCGAATAATTTGTACAGCAGTATTCACATTTTTTCTTTCCAGCAAATAGAAATCCTTTTACAAATATATATCAATTTTTGTACGCAAATGATAAACGTATATAGCTGAAGGGAAAAAAATACAACAAATGAATTTTTTGTTTCAACGACATTAATATGATATTCCATCCATTGTGATGAAACCTATTAAAAAAATATTAAAAGTAGACGATTTGTGTACAAAAACTAAAAACTTGGAAATAGAGGCATTGGAAGATTGAGGCTTGTACTCCAATACGTATTGGTGTAGTTATTATATAGTTGACGTATCATATATGGGTTCAATTCCAAAAATGTGTGTATATATATACAGTATATATGAATTATTTGCAACCAACAAAAATGAAAAGCGAGGAAGTATTGGTA